TTAGCAGCTTCATCCGCCAGTTCCCTCAGGACCCGCAGATGCATCTCATCAGGTCCCATGGACTTGTGCACCTTCAAGTTCCTTAGATGGTCTTGAACCTGATCTTCTCCTACAGTGGCAGTTCTTCATTCTCCCAGTCCCTGTCTTTGCCTTCTGCAACTTGGGTGGTGTGGATAGAGCCCTTGCCAGTAAAGACTGAGGCAAAAAAGTCATTGAATACCTCAGCCTTCTCAATATGATCGGTAACCAGGTCTCCCGTTTCCTCCCGGAGGGTCCCCACATTTTACCTAGGCTTCCATTTATCGCTAATGCTGGAACAGAATAGAGAGTAGGTCTGGTGTCACTTCAGCAGTGATGCTGCCAATGTCTTGTTGAGATCAGAAGGCAGGACAGGGTCTTCCTGCCACTGGTGTGATGAGTGAGGCCAGCAAGAGCTGCAGGTGAGATTTAAATGAAGCCTGAGGAAGAGAGAAAGAGATTTTCCTTTGCCAGAAAACCTTACTCCTGATTTCCCTGTCTCCTCCCTTACCCAGTGTATCTGTTTTTCTCCTGTCCCACAGGAAATCTGCGATGATCCACATCTCTTTGTGGATGGGATCAGCTCCCATGACTTACATCAGGGCCAGGTTGGAAACTGCTGGTTCGTGGCTGCCTGCTCCTCCCTGGCGTCCCGGGAGTCTTTGTGGCAGAAGGTAAGTGGTTCCCCATGCCAGGGGAAAGCCTGTCTTCAGCACCTTGGCTTTGCATTGTGTTTGTCCAGCTCAAAAACTGGTTCTTCAGGGATGCGTCAGGTGCTGAAAAACTGTTCACGTGCAAAAACCTCCCACGAAGGACTGTCTTTCAAGGGGAAGTCAGTCATCATGACTGCAGTCACGTCACACTCAAGCTAAACCCTTGGCCAGTTTCTCCTTAACCAAGCAAATCAAGTCCCGTCCTGTCCTCCAGATCCCAAATCTGACCCTCCCACTCCAAAATAATCTAAAAAACAACAAGATGGTTGGACTTGATGATCTTAGAGGTCTTTTCCAACCTTAAAGATTCTATGATTCTATGATAAGAACAAAAAAATTCGGGATGCTCAGCTGCAGCGTTTGGTCCCATTTCCCTAGTTTCCATGGTGTTACCTCTCTTTGGCTGCTTAGTGTGTGCCCACCTTGGCAATGAGACACCTTGCACTGGGGCAGGTAGGGTGATCTGAGGGTATTAGTACATCTCCCAAGCCACTGTTTCCCCAAAACATGCATTCCTGGCATGTTTTATGGCTTGATTGCACCATGTAGCAGTGCTCCTTCGAGTGTGGAGTCCAAAGGGACTGTGTTGCGGGCCAGAAAGCCATGAAGGGGCTGCACCAGAGCAAGGGGTGGCAGACCAGGGGACCAACCACATAGGTACAGGGGGGTAAGAAGGTCCTCAACACCACATCCTTGGACAGTCTGTGCCCATCTCTGCCATGTCCTCAGCTGCAGAAGAAGTCAAGCCTGTGAAAGCCAAGACAAACATGGGCTTCAGTCCCTGGTACAGGCATGTCTCATCATAGGACAAGAGACCAGCAAGTTGCAAGCACCTTTTCCTAGATTTTACTGCAAAAGGCAGCCACCAAAATCCTACAGTGTGTGCAGACAGCATCACCTGCTTCACCCACAGCCTTCTACTGCAACAGACTCACAGGATCTGAATATTACCTCCACCTTACTCCTTTGCATCAACTCTGTGTGCTGTTGTACTCCCAGTCTCTGCTGCACATGGGTTTTGTGATCATGAACGCCAAGCTCAGCCTTGGGAATTTGTATTTGTTGCAGCATCCCCATTTTTTGTTAAAATCAAGTCTTGTCTTTATGTGGGAACAGGATAGCTCTTGTAGGCTTCTGGATAAGCAGTAAGGTTTCCTCCCATCATGGCTGTGGTGACGGTTGTGGCTTTCATTACAGGTGTGGTGCAAGGGGTTGTTTAGTTTCTTCCTCTCCCAAGGGAGAGTGGGTGAGTTGTCTTCCCTCCTCACCATTCACTTCCAGCCCTGCCCTGGGAAATGCCTAGCGAACAGAAGCCAGGTCCCTTTGGACACCTCATTATTTCAGTTTGCCAACGGCATTGCTTTTCCTCCCTTGGCAATTTGGCTGTAGGTGTTTGTGACTTCTCATTTTCCATGCCTTTAACTCTCAGAGGCTCTTCTTCACCTGCCTCCTCTTTCTTTCAGAAAAGGTTTGTTTTCTGGCTAAAGCAAAAGCTGCAGCCCTCTCCCCAAGCCTTGTCTCCCAGTTGCTTGCTGTGGTGTTCGCTACAGGGCTTTGGTCAGACGTGCTTCAGCACACCCCTGCTTTTGGAGACCTCTGAATTAGATGGGACCTTTGCTTACCCTTTGCAAGGTGCTTTGAGGGCTTATGAATTGCAAGGAGCAAGCGTGGCTATAAACTGCAGCAACAACTTTTAAAGCAAAATGGGAGATGTCCAGTGTACAGATTAACCCCTTGGTCCAAAGAGACACCAGCTCCACTGGATGTGCTGGGATTAGAGCATGGTCCTTGCCAAAGATCTCGAAGCCCTTTGTTGGCCCAGAAATAATGGACCTGTTGGTCCTTGGTACAGTCGCACGTGCAATGTGATAGCATTGCTGGAGGTACCTGTTGCTTGCTCCTTGGACCTTGGGCATCTCCACACATAGGACCTGTAGGGCAAACCTCTACTCCTCTCTGATGTAAGCAACACTTGAGAGGACAGACAAGGCAGCAAAACACTAGGTTTTTAAACCTAGTTTAAAACCTAGGGGTTTTGTCATTATACACCAAAACATCTCTGATTCAAGGTCCAGCTGAAAGATGCTGATGCAGGTTTTATTATCACTGAAATGTCAGTACAGGGATCTTGGCCCAGGTCTCCCATTGCTGCTAGAAAATGTAATCCTGATTTACACCAGGATGTAACTTAGGCTCTGTGTGTCCCTTGCTCCACTTCACACAGCGAAACTGTCTCTCTCAAGTGTGGGGAGGGGGAATGCCTTCTAAGGAATAGGACGGGCCAGCACATCCCTGCGTATCCCAATAGATGATTTTATTCACATGCTTTCTTCCACCTCACCCCAAGGCTCCTTCCATGTCCCTACTTCCCATTAAGCCTGTGTTGTTTGAGAGACTGAGTGGGACTAGGGTACTGGAATTTAATTTAGAGCTGTTTTCTAAATTCCTGAGTCTTGGCTGACCCTACATGGGTTTAGGTGTGATCTGGCTCTGTGGCACCCTTTCTGTGACTCTTCAAAGGTGTCTAGCTCTTATGAAAAGAAATTAAGACCTTGAAATGAGGAGGATTAAAATCATTTCCAGCAACACTTTGTCCTAAAGGATTGTCTGGATCCATACCTGTTCTTCCACAGGTTGCATTGGTATTGCTCAACAAACAAGGGACAGGAGCCAGGCTTTGAACCAAGTGGTTCAGACAACCCTGCATCTCCACCACCTAGCCTGGTCTCCTTCCCCCTCAGCTGCTTCCAGGGCGCAGGGCAGTCTTGGATGGGATGCCATGAGCAGCTGGCTCTGAGGGCACTGACCTCCCAAAGCCCATTTTGCATAGGTCTTCTACAACCTGTGGTTAGTTATTGCTCTCTGAGGAGACTCTGAAGGCTGATCTTGTAACTCAGCAGGGCAGGGAAGGAACCTCATGTGGTGCCTGGGGGCTGGGCCCTCCCTGCAGTCTGTTCATCATCAGATGCAAGGTCATTGCTCCTTCTACTGCCACCACATATGGGGTAAAAGAAACAAGGCAGTCCAAGCAAGGACCATATGACATTTTCACATGTAGCTCAGCTCAAAAAGGTCTCCAGGGTTACCTGAAGACATTTTTAACTTTTAAAACCCAAGGGTTGGATCAACAGTTGTTGCTAAATGTGTTTTAAAGCTAGTAAACAAGCAAGGCAAGAGCTCAGAGAGTAGCCAGAAGGGTCAGGTTTCCTCAGACCTCTCTTTTGTCCCTTCAAATGGGGCCGTGTAGTTCTTAGATTTCTTGACTCTGCCCTCAGGGTCTTTAGGAGTAACAGCAGACTCGTGACTGCAGGACAATTCCCATGAAAATGACCCACCTTGGGCCCTTGGTGTCTGTGGCTTGTCTGGCCAGTGCCAGCTTTTGTTGGTCTTTTCTGGGACTTCTTCTCGAAGCCAGTGATAGCCTCCAGGGATGATACTGTGTGGTTGTGAGTCAAGCGTGACACAGTCCAGGTGCTGACACAGCCTTTTGTAAAAATATTTTAGAAAAACTGTTTCCTGACATTCATATAACGCAGTTTGAGCTCCCAAAGTGCCCTGCAAACATGGCATGTGGCAGAAGCCAACCTGAGTCACAGATAGGATGGAGACAACCCAAACAGCTTGACTCCACACAATGTCTAAAGCTTTATGCTGAAACTCCTGCACTCTCCAAGTGTCCAAACCAGTGACTATATCCCAAAGATACCACAGCACACTTGCAGGAGCCAGGCCTTTTCCATGGTGCACCTAGAACTGTGTCTGTGGTTTAGCCATTGTTTGATGGGACCGCTTGGCAGAGGGGAACATGGCTTGGCATGGCACCTCTCTTCAGGATCCACAGCCTCATGGAGCCACCCAGCACCCTGCAAAGAGAAACACATTGACCACTATCCCCCTTTATCCCATCCACTGTCTGGACAACCCACCAACATAGCACTAGTGTTCTGGATTTAACCATGCCCAGCTATTGCTGAGGAATAAGTGGTTCAAGGTTGGGCACGATGGTCTTACTGGTGCTCATGTGGACTCAGACGATCCCTACATTGCCTGGAAAGAGGTTGTTTAGGTTGCTTGCATCTTGGGCCTGCTTCTCCACGTGGCCCAAAGAGACAAGCATTAAGGCACAGACTATGGCTGAGTTCCCCTTTCCCAGGCACACTTTGGTGAAGCCCACACATGAGCACCCTCTCCAACTTTGTGCCAGTCTGTTTGAGGGCAGGCAGACCCACACTGAGCTGCTGGTGCCCACCTGCTGCTGCAGGAGCAGTGTGGGGCCCGAATCCTGCCAGCTGTGTTATCCAGAAAAGGACACAGGGTCCTGACGGACGAACTGACTATGAGTCAAACATGTACCGTTGCAGGGATTGGGGCCTAACTATCATCAGAAGTGCAGCCAGCAGGGCAAGGGACATTATTCTTTCCCTCTGTCTGGCATTTGTTAATCCCCATCTGGGAACTGTTTTGGGGTCCCCAGAAGAAGACGGTGGCAGACTGAAGTGAGCTTGATGGAGGCTACCAAGATGGTCTGGAGGACAGGACATATGAGGAAGGGCTGAGAGAAGTAGGTTTGTGCATCCAGGAGGAGGGAAGGTGAAGGGGGAGATTATCACTGTCTGCAACTACTTAATGGGAGCGTATGGACAACACGGAGCCAGACTCTTGCTGGGGATGTAGAGTCACAGGACAAAAGACAACAGTACAAGCTGCAGCTTATCTTCAGCATGAGCATGGTCAGACACTGGAACAGGGGCCCAGAGAGGCTGTGGGATCTCCATCCATGGAGATACTCAAAGATGGACTGGACAAAGTGCCGAGCAACCTGATTTAACCTTGGACAAAATCCTGCTTTGAGCAATGGGCTGGACCAGACCCCTCCAGAGTCTTCTTCCAACCTGAATTATCCCATGAACCTACACTTGGAGAAAGCCACTGCCACCCAGACCTGTCGGCTGTCATCCCTGCCTGCACCAGCCGCGGTTGTCAAGGAGGTTGCCAGGGAGGCTGACATCAGACATCCCTTCCCTATAGATTATTGTGCACAGTAGCACCATCAGTTCCTAATCTGCAAACGAGGCGGGAGGGCACCCAGAGGAAGCCCCTGAGGGTGTTTTGCGTCACTGGCCCGGGTTGCCTAGCACTGCTGGGACCGTGGAGAGGGGGCACCAGCTCCGGGGGCTTGGTGGTTTTTTCCCCCTGCGTGTCCTGTTTGAGAGCTAAATGTTGCTGAGGACATAGCAGAAGAGCAGCCGAAGTGATGGCAGCTGAGGCAGGGATGCTCGAGCTGCCCTTCGTCCGCGATGACCAGCTCACCCGGTGCATGCGGCTGCGATTCCAGAGCCTGCAGCAAAAAAACGCGAGGCCCCAGGATGGCGAGAAGCTGCTGCATCCCAACGAGCACGTCTACCGAGTGGATTTCATCCGGCAGCACAACCTGCACTTCCTCCGCTGGGACATCCAGCTGGAGAGACCTGGAAAGGTCATGGTGACCGGCACCTCCCAGCACTGGACTCCTGATCTCACCCACCTTATGAACCGGCAGCTGCTGGAGCCCGTCGGCATTTTCTGGAAGAAGCCAGGAGCCAAGGAGGTGGAGTGCAATGAGGCAGATGCCCAGGAATTTGGGGAGCGGATAGCGGAGTTAGCCCAGATCCGGAAGGTGATGTATTTCCTCCTCACTTTCACCGACGGCCTTGAACCAGCTCAGCTGAAGGGCTCCGTTGTTTTTAAAGCCTGATTCCCTCTTGCTCAGCCTTCTTGCTCCAGCTATGCTTTTGTCTTCATTTTTCTTTCTCTCAGGTCAGTTCTTGGTTGTTTTTATGTGGTTCTTCATTGAGGGACAGCATTATGAAAAAGTGGAGGGCAGCTCGGCGCTTCTGGAGCCCTTACCCCTGCAAAACATTCCCCGTATGTGCTGTCCTCTGTCTGAATGATGGGGAGGAGGGAGGATGGGCCATGAGCTTGCTGCTGTATTTGCCTAGAGTATCAGACTGCATGCTTGTGAATTCAGCAGGGAATCACCAGGTCTGACTGGCACAGGGCTTGGAAATATGAGGCTGCCCTAAACCCTCCAACTGTGGCAACTGGACACCAAAAGCCTAATGGAAAAATAAGAAATTGCCATACTAGAAACAGGAGAGACCACCTGGAGAGAGCCTTGGCTTCCAGCTTCCATCCTAGCCATTAAAAAAGGAGGGCTTGTTTGCAATGGAGTGCTTCTCCTTGCAAGGATGCTGAGTGCTTGCAGGCTGCAGTGACTCCTGCTGTGACTGTGGCTGCTCGGTGTCTCTGAAGACCAGCCCCATGGAGGATCACCTTGCCGTGAAGCTGAACTACATTTGGACATGCTGTATTCTACAGATTGCAAACCCACCAGACAAACCAGTGCAGGAAGGTTGGACCACCCTTTTCCTGATAGCCATCACTGTTTCTTGCTGGGAGTCAATGTGGGGAGGTGGTCTCCAGCACGTTGCTCACCTTGTGCTGCCTGGAGAATGTTGATCCTGAAATTGGTTGGAGCAGGCACATATGTGTGTGCAGAGCCCAGCAAGTGAGCCAGCAGCTCAGAGCAGACTGTAGGTCTGAGCCAGCAGTGAGGACCCTGCAGCAAAAACAATTTGTGCATCCTTGTGGCCTTAAAGCACCTGTGAATATATTTATTCTGAAGCACGTATAGAGAGTTGTGAGGCTGGAGAGCACTTTGCAAACTACAGAGCAAGAACCTGCTGCTGCTGTCCCCAAAAAGCAGTATCTCCTATCCTCCCCAAATGCTGAGGCAGGGTGGCCGTGGGAGCAGAGAGGAGAGACAGAGCCTTTGCAAGTTTAGGAGCAGGAGGGTGTTTTGTGTCTGGCTTGCCCCATCACTGTGAATAAACTGCTAACTTTGGATGTTCCCTTTCCCTCCACCAAAAAGCGGAGGGTACTTTGGTGAAGTTTCTTGAGACCCACAGAAAGAAATGTCCTTTGAAAGAGTCAAGCATTATTACAACTGGTCCTTTGCTAAGATTGCACACAAATGTGGGTGAGCGCTCCTCAAGGTATGGACTGAAATTTTCCTGTGTAAGGAGAGGGCAGTGATGGGAAAGCCAGGACAAGGTGGCTTTGTACCCATGGCCTGCTGACTTGTACAAACCATCCCAAAAACAGTCCAACCTCTTCTTCAAAGCCTCCAGAGACGCAGACTACATGTCCTCCCCAGACCAATAATAGTGTATAAAATAATTTGCACAAGCTATGCCAGGCAGAGAGGAGAAGGAAGGCAGGAAGATCAGCTGCTGGCTGGAGAGATGGTGGGAGCTTTGAGTCTTGCCCACAAGCAAAGCTCAGCAAACACTGAACCATATAGCTATGCCATGGGCAGTGCTGGAGAAGTTGATGTCTTTGTTTAGACCCCAAGAAGTTCTGCACTCCTTGAAGAGACATAAAAGTGGATCCATCCCTGTTTGGCCATAGCATGGACCCACTGTGGGCCAAACCCAGTTCTAGGATGTCGGCAGATTTTCCCATAAGAGATGCCTCCTTGTACATCCCGGAGCAGAGCTCCTGACTACAAACCACATTAGACCAAATAACAGGAACTACTGCCAACTTCCAAAGGGGATTTTGCATGCTAGGTCTTGCAATATGCCATTGCTATGTTGCTGGTTGCTGGGGTAGAGTTCCTGCTGCAGATACCTCGCTGGGTATTGATGTAACACAGTAAATAAAAGCCTAGTCAACAGGGTTCCCCTTAAGGACTGAGGATGTGTGTGTCTTCTTCTTGCCCTTTTTGGAAGCTGCCCCAGTCCTGCATGCAATAAAGCAGCACCCACCAATTTTCAAGTCACTGTTGGTATTTTTGAGCACCTTTTTCTCCTGTAAAAAAAGTAAAATGAACATTTACCTTGCATGAAAGTCTCAATGGAGCATTTAGCTTTTTGTGTGATTTGGGGAGGGGTTTGAAGCTGGGCAGTGGAGGGGGAATGATCCTGGGGTAGATACGCAAGTGGATCCTCATTTCCATCAGAGCTGGGGTGGGACGTGAGTGGGGCAGCGTGATTTTTCTCTGCTGCAGGGGAAATGCATGAACCACTTTATGCCAGTCAGTGAAACTCTCCTTACACAGTTTCAGCATCTCATAAAGGCTTTCAGATACACCACTCTGTCCCATCTCCCAAGGGAATTTCATCCTGGTTTGTACCATGGTTCAGCAGATTGGCACAGCTGGGTCCTTTCCTCTGCTTCCCTAGCTGGCATATTCCCAGCAGAAGAGCCCTTGCTTGGAGGAATCAGCATCTCTACCAACCCCTCCTTCTAATCGGGACATTTCTCCAGGGTCACAGGTGCTTTTTCTCTTAATTAGCCACCCCTAAGAAAAATGAGAAAAACCTTGGAACCAGCTTAGTGAAATGAAACTACTGTTTCTGGGCTCCCTATTTACCTTTCACTGTAAATTTGTCCCACAAAAGGGTGTTACAGCTCCAGATTTTGGGACCGCCTAAGCATAAAGAAGCACAGTTGTGTGAATGTGGAGATCTGGTCTCCATTGCCTCAGCATCACACAACCAATTTGAGTCCAGGACTCAGTGGGATCCTGGGATGGGTTGTCCATGGCATGCTCTCCAGTACCTATTGAGGAGGGATGGAGATATCTGGGGAGGTTTCCTGGGAGTGGGTGGGAGCCAAGGACCTCAGTCATATGATGATCTCCTGGAGAGACCTGGGCTCCAGCTACTGCTGGGGTTTGTAGATGTGTCCCAGGTTAATCCGTTAGGTAATACGCAGCATCAGGTCAGAGGCAGGGGTGGTGCTGTATGCCTTGAAGTGTGGTATCCCAATACATCAGAGCTGCTGCCTCTCCCCTACAGACACCTTGGCCTGGGGGTGACGTAACTTGAGGGATCCTTGGCCTGGGTGAGATGCTATGCTCCGGGAGGAGCTGAGGGGAGGAACCCAGTGTTTGAGATCACGCCTTGCTCTTTGGCAGGTTGAGGACAGTTTGGGCTCTGGAGATCAGGCTCCTCTCATTTCCCCTTAGGTCAGTGTAGAAACACAACCAGTCCTTGCTCCTGGATCCTGCTCTGCATGAAGGCTGACCACTTTTGCTGCCTTCAGTGGCAGAGGGTGTTTTCAGCGCTGTCCCCAAATGAAGGGACGGAGAAGGATAATGGGGTATCGACATCTCCTGCCACCACTGGCAGCAATGACAAGTCTCGGAACCAGCCAGCTGGAAGCTGTTGCTACCAGCTCTGGCTGACAGGCTGCCTCTAATCTATGCCATAATCATTTCTAAGCCCACATTAATAGTGAGTTGATTAACACAATGGTCCTCTATGACAATTCATTAGGATGAGCTCCAGTCAGGAGGGAATCGATGGGGATTGATGGAGGGCTGTCTGACCTTTCCTGGCACTGTCCCAGAGGGAGTCTGGGGCATTGTCGTTAGCACTCCTGGAAAACGTCAAAGCCTCCAAAAGTGGCTCTTTTTCATGGCTCTGTCTGCTCTACTTCTATTGATCCAGACAACTCAAGAGAGCCAGTGAGCTCGCAGGGCTGATGGCATCATTAATATTTCAATGTAGGAGCAGTAAAAGCCCTGGGTCAGATTGTTGCTGGCAGCTAAGGAGTTGGGGAGATCTCCAGAGAGAGGGCTCTCTACAGGGTTACAGCTTCATGACGACAGCCGAAAAAAAGCAGAAGGCTCCGACAGCTGGACAAGGGTCAAGGTACAGTGCAGGGGGGTCTCACCATGGCCTGGGACTTCCTGAAGAACCTCTTTCCATGCCGTGTAGCTGTGTCCTGTCCTGTCCCACGCCAACACTCGCAGCTGTCTCCACAGGACAGTGATTGTTTAGGTGTACGGCAGCATAGTTTTCTCACTGGGCACATTGGGGTTTTTCCTTGCTGGGGCCATGACACTTTGCAAGCAGGTAAGTAAAGAAGCAACGGTATGGACATTACTGCAGCTGAATCAATCAGTACTTGTCAGCTATTAACTGTACCCCGGCCATGAAGTAAAACCATGTGGACTTCACCCTCAACAAAAGCTAAACTGTGGTGGGCATTTCCTTGCTGTGTGCCTTTACGTCCTGGTTCTAAGTAAAATGCCGATCCTGCTAGATGTAGTATCTGTGCATGGCTGTGCCCATTTCTGTCCCAACTATTGGGTGGATTTTCCATCCAAAGCACAGCTGGTGGTGCCCACAGCCGTGAAGGGCTATGGACTTTGGCAGTTGTTACCCTCTGCTTGTGCCTTGTCCCATTGGCAGTGCAGGTGGCAGTGACACCAAACCTGCGCTCCCTCAGCCCTTCAGCTGCTCTAGGGTTTCTTTCACCCCAGATCCTCTTTTCATCCTTTCAGCAAGTCACCTCCCCATGCTTGCTTGGATGAGTATGGTAGCTTGTGGGGATGGACATCTCGCTTCTTCCATTTTCATAGAATCATAGAATCATTTAGGTTGGAAAAGACCATTATGATATGCAGAATGTCTGGTCCCTGTTCATTACCACCAGATGAATACAGCACTTGCTCTTGGGCCAGTCAAATCACACCAGAATCAAGTAAGAGAATCAAAGAAGGTGCCCTCTCTTAGTAGTACCCTACTGACACTAAAATGAACAAAAATGTGGTCATAAAAATAACCAACCCTGGTGAGACCAAGGACTCTTGTGCTCCAACAGTCTGTCTACAGCAATAGATGGCAGCAGATGTCCAGGGTAGAATTATAAGAAAGAGGACAAGGATCTTTAGCTTCATTTTCCAAGGCACAATGAAGTCTAAGCTATTCCAGTACATGTTAAACTAGTATGTGTTGGAGGAACCAGGTCCAAAATCTGGCCCCACCAGGCTGTAAGCAAGTCCATCTCCCTCATATTCTTCTTTGTCTTTGATATTGTCTGTGTTAGTTCCAGGATGAGGGTCAAACTCAGCAAAAAAGGGAATAACATAGGTGCATGTGCCTCCTCTCTTGCAGGTCATCCCAGACTGGAAGGAGCAGGAGTGGAACCCTGAGAAACCTGAGAGCTATGTGGGGATCTTCCACTTCCAGTTCTGGCGTTTTGGTCAGTGGCTAGACGTGGTGATAGATGACCGCCTGCCCACACTCCACAACCAGCTCATCTACTGCCACTCCAACTCCAGGAATGAGTTCTGGTGCGCCTTGGTGGAGAAGGCTTATGCCAAGTAGGTACCCAGGCAGTTACAGAACAAACTGGGACTTGGGCACCCTATTTTTCCACTCTGTTCATTCATCAGTTTGTTTGCACTAGTGGAAACAACAGCTGTCCTGGGGAGGAGTAGGACATATCTCAAACAGACAGAAACCATGAGAAAAAAACAAACCCTTCTCTAGTCTTAATTTACTCTCAAAGCAAAATATCCTCCAACTCCACGTTTCTTTAAGTAACACCTATCCTAAGGATTTCAAGTTCCCTTTACTTTGTCCTATGACAAGAGTGCTGCAAGCAGCATGGGTCTTTTTTTTGCACCCTCGTTTTCTGTCCTCACCCACTGAAAGTTTTATTACAGATCTCTGTTCTCCAGGCTGTCCCAAGAACTGTCCCAGACCCCTTAAAATGTCAGGCTAGTGTTGTGCCATCCCTGTCACCCTCTTTCAGGTTGTCAGGCTGTTATGAGGCCCTGGATGGAGGCAACACAGCTGATGCCCTGGTAGACTTTACTGGTGGGGTCTCTGAACCTATCGACCTGACTGAAGGGGACTACATCACTGATGAAGCCAAGCGAAACCTCCTCTTCGAGCGTGTGTTGAAGGTGCACAACCGAGGAGGCCTCATCAGCTGCTCCATCAAAGTAAGCAACGTTACCTGTATGGTCACGGTGTCATGGGAATAGGCATTTTAGGATGCAGTTGTCTTTTACACTGCTGGAGACTTCTAAATTAGATCAGATAAATTATGGCCAAGGGTTCCTACTTCTTCTCATGAATGGCAAAGGGAGTCAAGCCTGGATGCCAACCCTCTTTATTCCTCATTGCTATATCCAAGAGCCCAGAGTCATCTCACCACTCTTTAAATGTTAGGAGAGGATTCACTTCCAGAGAAAGGCATTTTGGTGTCTGCATGTGGGTGTCTCTACAAACACTGGGTGCCAGACGTCCCATTATAACCAGTAGAATGAGCTTTATTGGTTGACAGTATGGGAGCTCAGAGACCTCATACAGCAGATGAAGACCAGAAAGGATCTGGCATTTAAAATGGCATCTGATACATCTGCCAAGGCAACTGGCTGTCTCCCTGAGCGTTGGCACTCTTTGGTTCAGAGAAATCTGCAGGGAAATCTGAACTCTTTTTTCCCAGTCCCTGCAAAGGTGGTCACATCCCTCTGGTATGAGCACTGTCTGTGTCCCCCTGCCCAGGCCACGTCGGCAGCTGACATGGAGGCCCGCCTGGCCTGCGGACTGGTGAAGGGCCATGCATACGCGGTGACAGATGTGCGGAAGGTCCGCCTGGGCCATGGCCTGCTGTCCTTCTTCAAGTCAGAGAAGCTAGACATGATCCGCATGCGCAACCCCTGGGGCGAGCGGGAGTGGAACGGCCCTTGGAGTGACACGTGAGTTAGGATGGGCAGCAGCAGCACCTTTTTTTGGTGGGAAAAGCTGGGTTGGAGCAAGCCTTGAGACATGAGACAATTTGACTACATTCACACCTGTAGGATAATGTTGTATGGACAGTTGTGAGATGCAGCTTCAACCTATGTCCTAAACTTACTATTTCACTGGGGTAAATTCATTCCTCGCCCTGAGGTCCCTGGAGGTCAGCAGAAGGGTGACTGAGCTTGGCAGACCTTCTCATTAAGGCTCTGGTGGGTGTTGTGGTGAAATTGCCAGCATGTTCACATTAATGAAGGATAATTATAACTCACTTTTCAACTCCCAGTCTTGTTTCAGCAAAAATAGCACCCAACAGAATCAGCCTCTGCCACCACTGACTGCTGTGGTGTCTGTGGATGGGATGAAGAACCAAGGACTTGTGTAACCAGAGCCTTTGGCCAGAGTCCATTTTGTTATCTTCACTGATAGGATTGTGATTGTACTGGCCAAAAAAAATCTTGCCAAGCTGGATTCAACTCCACTGGTCAGGAAGAAAGCTGAAGCTCCAAGCCATGCTGCAGTCTCCCTGTGTTTGGAAGATGAGCTAACCAGAGCAGTGTGGGGACTGGTTGCATGGCTGGACCTCTATATAGGTCTTGTGCCCTTGATAGATCCTGATGAGGCCAAGTAGCCTCTTGATTTCTTGTGTGTCCCCTTGCCCTTGCACTAATGATCCTGTACTCTTCCCACAGCTCTGAGGAGTGGCAGAAAGTAAGTAAAAGTGAGAGAGAGAAGATGGGGATGACAGTGGAAGACGATGGAGAGTTCTGGTGAGTCCCTCCTGGGGTTGTTGCTACAGGCCATGCCCACAGAGTCCTCCCACCCCATGATACATGTGAGTCATTTCCATGTAAACAGTTATCCAGAGCACACGGCCTTCCAAACCCTAGGTTCTTTAGTGAAGCCTCCTCCTTGAGCCCATGGATGTTAGCTTTGGATGGCCATGAGCCTAGGACTGCAAGCTGTTCTGTATCACACTGGGTCCAAACCATTTCACCAGGGTACTGGAAACCTGTTATGAATGTGCAGAACTTGACAGCCTCACCAGGTACGTTTCAGTAAAACAGGTACTCATGTGTAGAGGAAGGACCACTACTCTGCCTCTCCCATTCCAAAAAAACATAGCTCTATTGTTTAAACTGAAGAAGAAGTATTTACCGCATGCATGTATCTTCATCTCTTTTGTTATTCATCAGCCTTCAGAAGCTACCCACACACAGTCTCTAACAGGTGATCCAGAAAATCCCTGCAGCATAAAGTTCAGGGGCATGCAGCAGCATAACCCAGCTCTGTCCTTTCCTGACTTAGGATGACCTTCGAAGATTTCTGTAAATACTTCACAGACATCATCAAGTGCCGTCTCATTAACACGTCCTACCTGAGCATCCACAAGACCTGGGAGGAGACAGTGCTACATGGGGCATGGACCAGAAACAATGACCCCTTGAAGAACCGCTGTGGAGGCTGTATCAACCACAAGGACACCTTTTTGCAGAACCCCCAAGTGAGTCATGGTGCAGAGGTCCTTCTGGAGCCTTCACAGTGCTTGCAAGTGTTTTAATCTCCTACAGGGACCTAGAAGGCCAAAATGCCTACCAGACCTCCAGTAGATTAAATGTGCTTAATGACCATTGTCTGGCTGAGACCCCTGGCACAGCATGACCAGCATCCAGGTCACCTCTGTTAACCTTATCCCTCTTATCAGGGAGACTGCATCCAAGTGCCTGGTGCAGAGCATCTTGGCACAAGCAAACAGCAGACTGTGCCACAGGGTAGCAGTGTTAGCTTATGCCCGTCAAACAGGGCCAGGAACCATTTCCAACAATTTGCATGTCTGAATGATCAAATTCTAGTTCCTTTGCCCAAACCTTGGCACTGCTGAGTTTACCAGGACAGGTATAGTCTATAGGGCCATTTCGTTCTAGCTTGGTCTTCAGAAAAGGCCCTGCTCTGAAGTTCATCTCCTGGAACAAGCTCTTCTGTCCTGTCCTGCTCTGAACTGGGATTCTCAGTAATGTGAGACAAGTTCTTGTGAGTCCTTCATCTAACAAGCAGATGAAGGATCATCTGCTCCATTGCAGGAGTTGTCATCAAGGACGTGGGAGAGCTGTTTCCTGCTTCCAGCTCTGTATTAGCCTTCATTTTAGGTCTCTGTGAACAGCAGTTCCTCCTTCCATGCCTTGTGGGAGGACTTGTGGCAGACTGCAAGGGGTGAAAGTCTCTGGTATGAGACTGCATCTAGACTCCTTGGATTCTGCTGAGCAATTATAAGACTGGATTTGCCAGTCTTTTTCTAAGATGAGCCAAAAAGGCCTCTGGCTTGGCAAGATGATGCCAGTTCCCAAGAGGACTGGGTATGGGCTCTCAGTGCTGGTACTGAAGCCAGGTTGTCCTTGCAGTAAGGTGGGTGAGGAGAAGCTAAGGTTAACTCTACTGTGTGTCTACCCCCATCGATGCCCAGTGATCCCGTCTTAGTAGAAATTGTCCCTTACTTTCTTCCCTTTGCTTCTAGTACGAAGGTTAACTCTACTGTGTGTCTACCCCCATCAATGCCCAGTGATCCTGTCTTAGTAGAAATTGTCCCTTACCTTCTTCCCTTTGTTTCTAGTACATGTTTGATGTGAAGAAGGCAGAAGATGAAGTGCTGATCTCCATCCAGCAGAAGCCAAAAAGGACCAGTCGCAAAGAGGGCAAAGGAGAGAACTTGGCCATAGGCTTTGATATCCATAAGGTAGACTATGGATCCTGCATGTTGGCCTGAATGCCCCCGTAAATTTATTAGTGGTGGACGGGTATATCAGTCCTGCATGGCCATTGGTATTATTCATTTAAGCATTACTCTGGGTGCCTCTGGAGTGCCTTCAGCACAGCCTGGCCCCCTCTAGAGACAGTGAGAGATTTCAGAGATGAACAATGACAGCACGGACAAGTTCTCCGTGCTGAAAACAGTGGTTAGTCTGTTACCTCCAGATCCTGAAATCCACTAGACTGATCCTTGTGTGTTGCTTGCTGTGGTCTCAGCGTGGAGCTAGGATGCAACAGAGACTGAGTGTCTGAGCCAACAGAGTTGGGAGAGCCATGTCCATGCTTGTTTTCCATCCAGCCCAGTTGGGACCATTTTGCTGGTTCTCTTAACTCCAGCTCTCCCAGCACTGTGGGGCAGTCCTTGCAGTCTGGCCTCCCAAAGTGGATACCAACACATTGTCACTCAGTGTTGCCCTGCTGACCATCCCCCTGTGGTGTCTGCCCAGGTGGAGCTGAACAGGAACTACCGGATGCACACCCTGCAGCAGAAGGTGGCCAGCTCCATTTACATTAACTCCCGCAGCGTCTTCCTGAGGACAGACCTGAAAGAAGGCCGCTATGTCATCATCCCCACCACTTTTGACCCTGGTCATGAAGGCGAGTTCCTTCTCAGGATTTTCACGGATGTGCCTTCAGATTGCCGGTAAGGAGCAAGAGGAGTGATGGGGAGGAGCTGGCTGTTCGGAGAGAGCTCTGTGCTTTAGACATGTGATTTTCCTGATTGGAACTGGTCATAGCCTTACCTGGACCTGGTGTTTGGCTAAGAGACAGGGCATCTTTACAGGTTTTACCACAGACATGCAGAGAAGCTCCAGCTCTGCTTCTAGGCATGACATGGAAGAACATCTCAAACCCAGGTTGAGGGGATTAGGGTGGGGAGCAGAGTCTGACAGTGGACAGTGCATAGTCTTTCCATCCTGCTAGAGAAAACTCTATCGCCTGCCCCTGGGGTAAGGCTGGGCACCTCTCAAAGGCCACGTGTTTTTCCCTGCAGAGAGCTGACACTGGATGAGCCACCACACACCTGCTGGAGTGGGATGTGTGGTTACCCGCAAGTGGTGTCCCAGATCCATGTCCTTGCCGCAGCCGGGCTCAAGAATCAGGACTCTCAAGGAGGTACTGGTCTTTCTCTGCCTGTTGTCTAGTCCCAGAGGAGCTGGGAGGTGGTTGTTTCAGTGGCAAAAGGGGAGGTGGTTTCATAAGGTGGCAGGTTGCTGGGATTTGTTATGTGCTTAGATTTTTTTTTTTCAGTGAACATGCCTGATTCAGACACCAGAGGAGGAGAAAGTCTATGGAGAATCAAACACTTCTTGCTGTGGACATGATCTGGGAGCTGTTATATTTAGGCTGTTGTCTAAGATCCTCAGGAGATCCTCCCAAAACTTCCACAAAGCCCTTAGCAGTGGTCCTGTAACAATCCAGGCTTTCCTCCTGAGTATGAGCAGCTATAAAAGTCAGGCATTGTATTTAAAGGCTTTTTAGTAGGAAGGACAGAGAAGCAATGGAACAGGTTGGGGTAGTGTTCATCACCAGAGGCTGGATAAATGTCTGTCAGTAGAGGGTAGGTCAAATTTAGCTCATTTTGGGATGGTGCGGATCAAGACCCTCTCCCTCTATTTCCTGTAAGTCCTACTCCATGCTTGGACCTCTCTGAGATGGCCTGAGCCATTACCAGCACAGCGCACTGTGTTTCTGCCTCCTCGGTCCTCTAAAGATTCATTTTCATGGTCCTGCTATGCTCTCATGCAATTTTGACATCCAATGCTTCTCTTGCATGAATCACAGCAGCACCACCATGCCTCACCATGTTCTGCAGCCACCCAGAAGCTCATGGCAAGAACCCCATGTTCTGTCCTCCTGGGGCATCTTGACCAAGAAACCCAGGGGTAGTGATGACTTGTAATGGGAGATCATTGAAATAGGGATGAAGGGTCTAGAGTTTGTGATTAGAGAAGCCAATTACTTTCCACCATTGGAACAGACCAGATCCTAGCCTTTCTCCCCCATTTTCTGAGTCAAGGAATGTGCTGAATGTGACATGGTTTACCCAGGCATCTTAAAGCCAAATTTAAAGTATAAAAATTGAAAACTTAAAATTAAAAAAAAATTAAATTGACAATTAATTTTTTTTCTTTTTGTCACCCAAGCATTATTGTCAGGGCTGCATATTGCTAGAGCTCGGAAAGTAACTAGCAGGATTCTTCCTTAGGGCAAGGACTAGCCCAGTTTGCTTATTTATCACATGCCGCAGAGGGAGTCCTTCTATCCTGTATGTCGTTTGGGGAAGGAATTTCACCCTAGGTAGGGTGTTTATTCTTGGGTTATTCAGAACAGCTTGGTGTATCTGTAGCAATGCAGGGAAACCTGTGGCCAAAGGTCTCTCAACTGTTCACAGAAACAAGGAGATTTATCTTCCCTTCAGACAAGGGTACATGTGGATTTTGGAGCCATAAAACATTTTTTCAACAAGAGGCCCTTGGGAATGACCTTTTTTCTAGCTGTTTTCCGGTTGTTTGGCTCTCACCACCAACAGCCTGCACGTTTAGTGCTTTCCAGTTCAGTGTTATCTGTCACATCTCCCAGCCCAGGCCTTTTACACTGCTTTGGAAATAGTGATTTACAGATAGGAATTTGGCTCCAGCTGATGGAATATGAGGATTTAATGGGATATCCCAAAAGACAAGGCTAGTTTGGAAAAACAGCTGTGAAATCCAGCAGCTGTGTCTCACCAGGAGACCTAGGTCCTTGCAAACAGAAGGCTAGTGAGGAGGTGGTCTGGCAACCCAAAATGTGATTCTTAAATCCCTGGTCCTCAGAAGGGGGTGGTTTGTTCCTCCTCATTTCCACATTTCCCTTGGACAAGAAAACTCTTCCACCTGGGCTGTGTTTCCGTCATAGCCACTAAAGCTCACGGTGAGAAAATGCATTCTGGCAGTTAAATTTCCATAGCAATAGCTCATTCTCTACTGAAATTCCCCAAATGATCTCTTGTTTCATATGGGGAAAATGTTCACTAATGAGGGACTCCTTCTGTCTCCTGGATGCTCAGGTACTGTCCAGCTGTGGGCTGGTGGTCTCTGAACTGGTAACTACTCTCCATCTTTGTGACCTGCTTGTTCCCCATGACTCTCTTGTTCCAGCTGGGATATTGCGAAAACCTTCCCTTTCCACTGACATGTTACACATCCCTTCATGAACCTCTCCTCTGACTTCCCACTTACCATTTTGTCTGCTTTCATCTCCTCCGGTTCCCTCTCATTTCCCCTGGTTGCCCCCCAATGCCCGATCTTTCTCTTCCCCATGTCTCTCACTACCACCAATGACCCTTTTTAACATTTTGATCTTCTCCCTGAATTCTTGCCCAAAGCAAATACTCTAAGAACCATCTTCACCTTTTTAAAAGCTTTTAAAATATATTTCCATTCTAAGGCTCCCCATTCATTGGTTGCTCTCCAAACCTTCCCAGTGCCCAAGTGGTCTCATTTTTGGATCTCATAGGTTAGCACATCTCCAGACTTAATTTGGGCTCAGCATTGTGCTCATCACCTTGACCATGCAGCATTTTTCTTACCCCAGCATTAGTCGTTATACTGACCTGCAGCATTTGAGTCTCACTCAGTCTAGGAGGAATTTAAGATGTGCCAATGATTTGTGCATGGGGGTGAAAACCACAGTCCCTGCTGAGGTAGCTAGTTATCACCTTAAAGTAAAACCAGGATGAGCCTGGTTGGGAAGCATATGAGCTGCAGTGGAAGCAAGTGGGCTTTTGCAGCTTGAAGGCTCTTGCCATTCCTCTCAGTTTCCCGGTGTGAAACAAGTTCTGTGATCCCAGTTCTCTTCTCCATGTCTTTATTTCTGCCTGCCTTCAACAGAGGAAATCCTGAAAGGGAGAGGTGGGCTGGTCAGTGTCTTCCATGAAAGATTTATCCCAAAGGTCAGGAGGATTTGAAGTGATGAAGGAGTGTTTATGTAGAATATGGGGTCAAGGAAGAAGGGGCCATTTCGTAGCAGTCCATCACCGCCTGCCACCTGGGGACAATGATGTCACCTAACAGGAGTAAGCCTGAGCCCATCGGCTGAGTTTCATCGACATCCTCTGGGGTGTGATGAACACTCTGACGGATATCCATCTCCTCTGGTGGGGTATGGAGAAAAACTGCTACATGACACCCCTGGAAAAGGGCTCTGAGGAATTACAGGAGCTACAACAAAGCAAAAATTCCCTTTTCTCTCCCCAGGAGCTGACCCTTATGTGATCATAAAGTGTGAAGGGGAAAAGGTTCGCTCTCCAGTGAAGAAGAACACAGTGTCTCCAGAATTTGATGTGAAAGGTCTCTTCTACCGCAAGAAGCCAGGACAACCCATCATTGTTCAGGTACCTAGCAGGCAAGCAGTGAGCTGAGGGATGGAGACCCTGTCTCACTTGGACCCCCCCCCACCTGCCCTCTCCTCACATTGCCCACAGCAGGTTTGTTCTCCGAGGCTGAGCATCATCAGTTCATGCAGCTCAACCTCTGAGCCTTGACATCTGGTCAATGCATGTCCTTCACCCCTCTCACTGTCAGAGTGAACCCCCACACAGTTCAACCACTTCCATGACTCCAGCTCAGAGAAGGTCCCAAATAACCCCCTTCTCCTCCCTGGTGCATGAAGGTTGTCTGCATCCCTCAAAGACCTGCCTTCATGTCTGTTTTGTTTCCCCAGATCTGGAACCACAACTTAATAAGCGACGAGTTCTTGGGCCAGGTGGTGCTCACGGGGGATCCCAGTGACCGGCAGTCAGTACACACGCTGCACCTTCAGGACAAAGGGAACAGGAGATCAAATGATCTCTCTGGAACCATCGCTGTGAGGCTGCTCAGCAGTAACATCCTCACCAACGTCTAAGTACTCAAGGACTCTTCTTCTGGTGCCACATATGTGTATATATACATGCACACATACCTACATATATATATATACACACACATACAGAGCCTACCTGCCATCTGCAAAGTGTATATGAACTATGCATGCATTCCACTCAAAGGAGCCAATCTTGTGTTTTCGATGTTAAAAAAATGGTGCCTTTTTGGGGAACCGCAACGATCCTTCTGCTGGCATCCTCTGCAGCCCCCATCGCTGCCGTGTGCCCTGTGGGATTGCCGCAGGCACGCTGTGTGTCCTGACAGCCAGAGCACGATGCCCTGACGCTGTTTGTTTACACGGGCTGGCACACACGTGCCACCATGCACACGTGTGGCCACCGCGGTCCCACCAGCTGCTTCAATGCATCTTCAGTGTGTCTGCTTGGTCTAAGAGTAGCACGCGTGGAGTCGTCTCCCGTGAAACTGCCATTTAATTGCTTCTCTGTGGAGGCACCTCAGCAAAGGAGAAGTGGAAAAATAGATTGGGACCTTTTGGATGGTTTCTGGCTATGGGTTTGGGTACTGCAGCTGGAAGGAAAATGCACCAAGGCAGTCCCAAATCCACAGGGGTAACAAGACTAAAGGCTCCCATCATTTCAGGGACAAGCTGTCCCCTCCTGAGCCTTGTTCAACCCCATGCAACTCTGAAGGATACAAAGATGCCAACAACCATGGTGGGACAACTGTCCTCTGGGGTCAAGTTTTTGAATCGGTCTGGACTCAGCTCCTGTGTGTGCCTCTCGAACTGCCGTGGTGCCTGCTGCCTCCATGTCTTCATGCAGTCCTCATCCCAAGACCTCACCCCAGCAGCTGGGGTGGGTTGTCTGCTGGGGCCGTTCAGTGTTGGGATAAGAGGAGATCAGTTCCACTGAAGGCCAAAGCATCAGGTCCTAGGGATGGGGAGCTTTGCTCAATGTGCTCCATCTTTACTGCTGCATCATTTTGCAGTGCCTCGCTTTCCCAAATTATTTTTAAAAATAATGGGATTTTAGCTTGTACTAGAGGAGAGGAGAACTGCTCCCAGTGCAGCCTGAAAACGCTGGGAATATTTAATTCATACCAGTGTCCATCTCTCACCTTTAATTTCCCGTCTACTGGCCTGCAGAATGAGTTGCGCAGTGCTAGAGCCAGTCTCACAAGCACAACCCAAACGCGTCGTTAAGGCCGAGTCTAGGGCCGGGCTCTGCTCCTGTTTGCCATGAAGACTGAGTTTATCTCCCTCATTCCGCTGGGTGGCAGAATCCAGCTTCTTATAAACCATCCCAGATAAGCCCAACAACAAACCCTTGTGTCTGGCCTTTCAGCAGCTGATCAGGGCAGGTTTCAAAACATATTTTTTTTTAACTCCTGTTGTTAGGTTGGGTATTTTTATTCATGTGCCTTTTAAAATATTGCAAGTGAAGGGAATTTTCTGTCAGAGTTTTCTAACAAGCAGATATTTTGCAGTCACCAGCATGCAAGTGGAAATTAATACATATGATGTAATCTTGCAATCTTGTAAATTCTGGCCTGAGCAGAGTCCTCTGCCTGCAAGGACAAATGAACAGGAAAGCCTTCTTTTGCCATAGCAAGTAGGGTTTCTGTTTGTCCTACTAAATGCCCATGTTTGTGCAAGTCTGTAATTTTTTTTTAAAGTCCCTAAAGATGTTCTAAGTTTGTAATGTGATAAAATGTTCCCCAAAGTCACATTAGCTGCCAGGTCAATTCTTGGTCCAGAAGCGTAGAGTACAACTTCATCGATTTTTGCAGGCTGTTGTCCCCCTTTCCTCATTCTCAGAGTTTACCTCCTGTGGTTATGAATTGGCTTCTTCACCAAACTTCTTATTTTCCTAGGTCTTGTTTTCCAGGCCTTAGAGGCAAGCAGTGGCCTGCAGGATGCTCTTTCCAGGTCCCAATTATTCCTGGCTTACACTGAGCACCCTCCAACTCCTGGTGCCATCACTGGGACCTAGCTTAGTTAGCAGAATTGGCTCAAATGCTCCTAGTTTGTTAAAGTGATATTTTAACCCCAAGGTCAAAGTAAATCCCTGAATTTGGGAAGACCGATTCAGAGATATTTTGATTTTATTCTGGTTTTGTTCATGGGACTCATCACTGAAAATAAATGGAAGCAGCATTATGGGGCCAGAATAGATGATTTAGGACTTAGGAGAAGATCTCACAGTTCAGAGTGGTATGTGAGAGGGACTGTGATGCCTAAAGATACCTCACCTGGCAGGAAGAAGCTATTTAGTTAAGGGAGAACATCGCGGGAACATCACAGGAGCTTTGCATCATCACTGGCAGATGGGCTTAGCCAGCCTGCCTGCATTAGCCTTGTTTTCTCAGGAAATCGGGCTACCGATAGCTTCAGGAAACGAGAGCCACTTGGCCAGGAGTGCCCTGACAGGTGCCAAACTGCACCGTGATCCCTAAGGAATGACGCTGAAGCTTGCCAAGGAATAGCGGATGCCCTGGTACCCATGGGCAGCCTCCTTCGTGCAGAGAATCAAGCCATAAAGAGAGGAAAGGCAGCTTTTTAACAGCTTCCTCAAAAGATTAAATAATCATATCATATCAGGACCAAAATGTCTTAATATTAGTAATATTTGTCCTTTAAAAAAAAAGAAAACAAAACCTTTTCAAAAGTTAAAGCAGAAGCCTTCTTCCCCCTACATTTCTAATAGAATAACAAAAATTACCTTCGTTGCTTTTTTTGGGGGTCTTTTTTGTAGAGATGGGGAGGGCAGTTATTGAATGCCATTCCTAATGTTGATGCCTTTTCTCTTTGAATGAAGTAAACAGAAATATTCAGGGTTTTTGAGGGGAGAGCAAGTCTGATATGCACTTTCCAATCCCTCCCAGGTGGTGTAGGACATGTCTTTGATTTATTTTCCATTTTTTTTGTTAATCATTTCAACGGTTGCAGGTAGCCTGCCATTACACTCTGTGAAATCCATTTCTTTTTGACGTCTGCATGTTAAAACAGGCTATGACTTGTCTTCATCTCCAAAGGCACTGACATGTCACGCTGCACAAGATCAGAGAGTGGTCCAAACAGAAAGCCAACGTTGTACAGCTGTAAACCTCCTATAAATAAATTGTGTATATTTTATTCAGACTCCCTGCCTTTAAACTGCTGTGTTCTTCCAGAATGCTTTTGATGGGCACAAGGTGGCTCTGCAGAGCCTTTTTAATTTGCTTGATTCACTAAACTCCAAGTTTTTTTCTCTGCGGACTTTGAGACTGAGGCAAGGCAATCTGCATGAAGGTTTCACGCAAGGTTACACTCACGTTCACTGGGAAAAGCCACAGAGGGGAAGGGTACCCTCCTCTGACTATAAAACCTTTGCATCCTATGCCTCAGAGTCACCTCGATGCAGGGAACTTGTTTATTTGAGCCTCACCTAACTTGGAAAAAGCTCTACAGATTGCTAAAAAAAAATGTAAATAATTATGGACAAAGCAGCAGGAAGATGTGATTTTTGGATGGCTTTCCCTCAAAGAACAAACAGATTGCATTTGCAAAAGCGAAAAGCCTGTCCCTGCCCATGGGAGTCTCCAGTCTTGCCGCTGTAACACACGGTCCCAAAGTGCTGACACTGGGACCTTGTTCCCATCTCAGCTTCCAGCTCCATCACCTGCCTGTGCTCAAGGTCTTTGTAGCATGGAGGAGCTGTGCTCTTCTGCAGCCCACCCTGAAGAGCCTGGAGCAGGCATCTGGAAAAATCCTTTTTTATTGTGGGGTGGGGGCACCCATCCAGGTCCTCCTGCTCCTGGGATCATGCCCTGGGACAAACTGTGTCACCAAACCCTAGATAGAGAAAGGAGCATCCTACTCCTCTGCCTCCATCACTGAAACAGCTTGCAATGTTCTTCAGGGGAGAGAGCCTCACAAACATCTCAACCTCACAAACATTATAATGCTCTCCTGGAGGATGTCCTGAGCAGTAGAGATGGCTGAGCACCTATGAGGCTGTGATACTTGGTGCTGGATACAGCACAAGAGCTCTGGTGTAGACCAGGTGGCTTTACCAAGTCCTGCTTTGTGCACATTCAAAAAAAAAGGTCTGTGCAAGTCTGGATGAGCCACAGATCAATGATCCTGTAGGCATGGGGTGTCATGCCTCCCCACCAGCACCCACATCTCGGTTTCTCTGGTACCTGGGCAGTGAGCTTAAAGCGGAGGTTGCTTTGAAACCCTGTCTGTCCTTGTACTGGTGGTGCACACCACCACGTGGGCTGGCAACATGGGCAGGGATGCTGGAATTGGTGTGGGACCCCAGCACATCAGTGGGATGTGGGGAGCTTGTGCACATTCAGAGACCAGCAGCAGGTAGCAGAGGTGTGCACAGCTCCAGGCAGGATCCAGCTCGGGCTCCCCAAGGGTCCTGCAGCATCTCCTCATCCCTCCAGTGCTGCCATCTGCCAGGGATTTCTGCTCACTAACGTTAAACTAACTAAACTGACACTTCAGAGTCTCCTTTTGACCTGCAAGAGCATCTTCATGGAGGAACACACATCCTGCCATGGTTGCAAGATGAGGCTGGAGTATTTCCCCTTGGGGCTGGGTCTCCTACAGCCTGCAGCTTCCCACCCTGACACCTGTATACAATCCCCCCCCATATGGATATGAGTCTCCTGCTGCTCAAAAGGACCAGGGATTACTAGCAAGAAGGGCTACAGAGGTAGCAGGGCTTTCAGCAAGGGGATGGGTTCATTACCTGTCCCTCAGAGCTGCTCAGGTGCTACAACATCCTTGGCCAATGTCCCAGGTATTAAATATCGAGGGGTTAGCCTGTGACCCACAGCCGTAACAGTCTGCTGAGCAGGAATCATCCAAAATCTCTTTGCGCTCTTCAAATCCCACCTCCAAACCCAGCAATGCAGGCAGAGGAGCACATCTGGCCCCATGTCCCTGGCAGAGCCTCCCTCGCTGCCTTCCCACACACCCATGGGACATCCTGGGCACAAGAAAAAGCTGCCCGAGGCTGGACCCTTTCCAGGTGCATCGGATGTGGTCCAGAGCAAAGCGATTGCCGGGCACAGCCAAT